TAAGACACAAAAAACATGAACAAAGAAGAAAATCGATAAAATGAACCATCAAAATTAAGAACTTTTAAATATGAAAGGACTTCATTATGAATGTAAAGAGAATATATATTTGGTGACCATATAACTAGTAAGGATTTAATAAGCAGAATATGTAAGGAACTTATACAACTCAGTAACAAAAAAAGATAAACAACATAATAAAAAAATGGGAAAAGCACTTAGTTATTCCTCCAAAGACAATATAACATGATCAACAAGTACAAGAAAAGGTGCTCAGCAACAGTGTTCTTGATGTTTAAGTGCCACTGAGTCACTTTCAACTAACAGCGACTAAAGTAAATCAAAGCCACAATGAAACCATTTGAAATGTTATCAATTCACTCCCACAAGGACGGCCATTATCAGAAAGCAAAAACAAAAAAAACACAGAAAGACATGTAGAGAAATAAGAACCTTAATTCATTGTTGTTGTTAGGTGCCATAGAGTCAGTATCGACTCATAGTGACCCTATGCACAGCAGAACAAAACACTGCCTGGTCCTGCGTCAACTTCACAATCGTTGCTACATTTGATGTCATTGCTGCTGCCACTGTGCCAATCCATCTCACTGGGAGTCTTCCTCTTTTTCTCCAATCCTCTGTTTTACCAAACATGATATCCTTCTCCAGGGACTGGTCCCTTCTGACATTATGTCCGAAGTATGAGAGACAAAATCTGGCTGTCCTGGCTTCTAGAACACTCTGGCTGTACTTCTTCCAATACAGACTGGTTTGTTCTTTTGGCAGTCCATGGTACTTTCAATATTCTCCTCCAACACCATAGCTCAAATGCATCAATTCTTCTATGGTTTTCCTTATTTACTGTCCAACTTTTACATGCATATGAGGTTATTGAGAATATATGGCTTGTATTGGGCACACCTTAATCCTCAAACTGACATCTTTGCTCTTGAACATTTAAAGAGATATTATGCAGAAGATTTGCCTATTGCAATACATCGTTTAATTTCTTGAAT